CATATTTCTATACATCACTTTTTATTGAAAGAAATTATAAAATTCTGAAGTGTGATAAATAAAATTTTTTACCTTTACTTTTAATTTGTATTAAACATTTTTTTTTATTATCATTAACTTTTAAGTTGTGTTTAGTATTTTTTCAGCAATTTTATTAAATCCTCAAAGTTGGCATCGACACTAAGCGTCAAAAAGCGTTTTTTTGTTCTTGCAAAACTGAAAAAAGTCAAATCATCTTTTCGAAGATTTTAGGTTTAAAAAAATGCCCTGAAAAATTATTTAGCTCTGTAGGTGAATTGTAAAAATTAGTTTTATTTTCATCTCTAAAAACTGCGAATAATAGTTTTAGAAACTTTTCTTATTTACAAATTTAATTTACTTCTTTTTATTCATTCTTTTTTAATTTCCATTTTTCCATTACCTTCTTTTTATAAATTTTAAACCCTTTTCTCTTACAGTTTTAATTTGATGGCTATAAGTTTGCAAGTTAAAAAAATTATAATCGAATCTATAACATAATGTAAATATCAAACTGAAACTTGTATAGAAAATGATGATTGGAAGTTATAATAGCAGTTTGCGTGAATAAATTATATTGAATTACTGCGCCAATGAATTTTTATTTGACTTTTAACATAGTAGTGCAAAATTCATTAGAAACACGAATCATTTCTTACGAATAACTGGTTTTTCTCAATGATTCACACAACTTATTACAGAAATATGTGTTGGTTTATATATCTCTCATATTTACCCGAGGATTCTTGTCATTGTTCAATTTATCAGAAAATTATTTGTCAAACTGTACAAATAGAAATTTATATATATTATTTTGAAAGTATTATTCATAGTGTGTGTAATAAAGATATTCCCAAATATAAATACATTGACATATTTATTAAGGTAGCTGTATATATGTATACCTGTCACGTATAAAAATTTATACTATATATACCTTGAATACCTAAAAAAAATATTTATAATTGTATACGTATAAGTATAGAATAATATACATATATTTATCGTATACAAGTGGGTCTTAATATCGATATAATAAATTTTATTCAAAATAGGAATAATTCGAGAATATAATGTATGTAAATTATCACTTTCACATAATAATAACCCTTGCCTTGATAATTTAATATTAAAGGAGAAGAAAAATTAGAAATTTGCGCGATTAATAATGTGAATAATATCGTGAAAAAATATCTAAATCATTATTAGCTTCGTGGCTTACACTCATCTTTATCAAAACTTTCTCCTTGTCGCATATACACCATTATTAGGACAATTAGCTCGTACACACTATAATTTCTAGAGCGTTCTCTTAATTTCATTAAAAGTTTCATCGAGGTGATTTTTTTCTATATATAAAATAAATTGAAACTATTTTCTTAATTTAGAAAAAAATATTGTATCTTATTGTAGGAAAAAAGTATCTTGAATTTCTTTTCATGATATAATGTTTACAAATAAATGTAGAAAACTTAATTTCGTTGTTTCAGTTTCAGTTTTTTTTACCTTTTTTTTTTACTTTTTTTTTAATTGAAATTTTTACTTCCAGCAGTTGTATTACATAAAAGACCAAAATTATTTGCTTTTCCTATCTGAATTAAAATTATAATCATTTCTAAGACCACAATTATAAAATAATATAACTAAGTAAACAAATGATATTGTTTAAAAGATGATATTGTTCTTCTGAATTTGCATTGTAATTCACTTCCCGTTATTCTTCGATGCTTTTGCTTTTTTATAGTCATTTCGAGAAAATTTCTTTCAGGGAAAATAAAATAGGTGATATTGGGAAATTAATTTTTCGTTAAATTATTAAAAAAGAAATTTTTCAATAGTACTTTATTTGAATTTATTGATTAAATTGATTAAATTTATTAAATTTATTAAATTTATTATATTTTATTATTTAATTAATAATTATTAGTCAAATAATTATTTAATTATTAAATTAACTACTAGGTAGTTAAAATTCTTTAATAGTTTCTACTGTTATTTTTTGATGAAAGTACAAAAGTGTGGTTACAGTAATTTTTAGCTTACGAAAGTTGATAGAGAAATAAAGCGCAATAATCATATTTATATATTGTTAGCAATTATGAAAATTTTTAAAGAATTTTAATTTTGTTATTAAAAAAAATTCTTTTTTTGTTAGTGTAATTTTCACAAAGAATGTGTTTATAGCTCTCAATAAACTTGTGGGAACGAATCAACCTTTAGGTATTATTGTACATTTCCTGTGATCATTGAAGCGCGCTCCTCCAATCAAAGTTCCAGCTTTTATCAAAACTATTGTCGCAATAGAATTTTTGGGTCAATTTTTTGTGCAAATACTTTCAATTCGACGTGTAGAAACAATAGAGAAAATTAATAGCAACTGGTAATATTGTTATTAACTAAATAAATATGTAAATTAATATAGCGAGTAACTAAAGAGCTTATAGTGAATTTTAATTCAAGCTGCTTCTTTTCTTTCGATTATTTTTATTAATTTTACATAATTATATTTTATATCTATTTTGAATTTAGAAAGAAAAGTTAAACAATTTGTTTTCTTTTTTTAATTTTAATATTAATGCAAAATAACGAAAATATAAAAATATTAAATTAAAAAATAAAAATATTAAAAATGCTACAAATTATTGGAAAATTGGGAAAAATATTTTATTTTAGTATTTAATGTTAAAAAATATTTTTGGCTTTGAACTGTATACGAAAAAAAGATTATTTTCTCATTTTGTCCCTGGAATAGAAAAAAAAAATGAAGAACATATCTGTCTTCAGTCAAGTTTGTCACTCCTCAAAAAAAAAAAAAAAAACGAAGAGAGGAACATTTTTTATTTTAAAAATTTGCAATTACGTTACGGTTGTTAAATTTTCTTGAACAAGGGCTGGGCACGATAATAATAAAAAACACGTGGGATGGGCTCGAAAAGACACACAATACGAGTGCAGATTGCAAAGTTCGATTATAGACTTGCAGTGAATCGAAATCGTATCACAGCTTCATTGAGTGCATAAAATTGAACGACCTGATCGATATCTGAAGGGTTTACTTTTCTGTCTATATAGGTACACACACACACATATATATGCAATCTAGTCAAGTAATCTTGATATTACCTTTAATCGATCTTAAATCAGCGAATCCTCAACATCGCATGATTCGATCTTTAAAATGATATATACACAACAAAATAAACTTGTTCTTGTTATTTTTATCAGATGATAATAATCGCATTCATTTTGTAAATACTTCCTTCCGACTCACTGATAACGCGCACCGAACAAAAGTTAATTTCCGATATCATTATAGGGTAATAGTCATCAAATTAACAAAATGGGGAAAATTAATGAAATTCTTTCGTTCAAAGTCATTTTCTTACGAAATATTTTAATAAAAATGGTAATAATTTAAAAATTTATTCATGTTTCTGATAATATTTGTATCAATACATTCTTTTGAATTTAGTAAAATTTTTTAGAGTAGTTAAAAAGTAATTTTCGGTTTTGTCGAAATATTGTAAATAAAAAAATAAATAATTGCCTGATAAGAAATAAATAAACAATAGATAAGAAGAAACAATAAATAAGTTGACAGTAAATAAATTAACAATAAAGTAATTAACTATAAAGTAATTAACAATAAATGAATAAAGTAAATTAATTAATAATAAATAAATAAATAAATCAATAAGTTAACAGTAAATAAATTAACTGTAATCCTATTAACCATAAATAAATGAAAAGTAAATAAACCAACAATATAAAAGTTAAAATTAAATAAGTAAACAGTACAAAATAAATGAAAAGTAAATAAATTAATTATAAATAATAAACTAACAATAAGTAATACAAGTGAAAAATAAATAATAAACAAACACTGTATAAATTAGCACTTACTAAATTAACAGTAAATGAATAAACTATAAATAATAAATTAACAATAAATATATGAATAGTAAATTAATTAACAGTAAATAAATTAGTAGTAAACAAATTGATAATAAATAAATGAGCAGTAAATAAATTAACAAAATAAAAGTTAATACTAAATAAATAAGTAGTACTGAATAAGTAAACAGTACTAAGTAAATAAAACAATAAATAAATTAATTATAAACAATAAACTAACAATGCCCGTGTATGTAACGAAATAAATAAATAAATAATAAATAAATAAATAATAAATTAATTAATAGTAAGTAAACTAACAATATAAAAGTAAAAATTAAATTAATAAACAGTTCTGAATAAGTAGACTATAAATAAATTAACAGTAATGAAATTAGTAGTAAGTAACTAAATGACAAATTAATGAACAGTAAATAAACTAACAATATAAAAGATAAAAGTAAATAAATAAAAAGTACTAAATAAATGAAAAGTAAAAAATTAACTATTAAATATTAATAATAAACCAACAAAAAATAAGTGAATAATAAATTAACAGATGAACAGTAAATAAACTAACAATACAAAATTTGAAATTAAATAAATTTACAGTAATAAATAAATAAACAACAAATAAATAGTAAATAAATTAACACCAAATAAACTAAGAACATATAAATTTAAATTAAATAAATGAATAGTAAATAAATAAACAATAAATAACTGAATAATAAATAAATTACAAGTAAACAAATTAACAGTAAATAAATTAATTAATGAAAAATTAATTTTGTGAACATTTGTTGTGAACAGTAAATTTTTTGTGAACAATAAATTACAAGTAAACAAATTAACAGTAATAGAATTAATTAATGAAAAATTTTGTTAACATTTTGCATTGTTTACAATTTGAGGAAATTGTCAAAGTTGGTATTGATAATTTTGTATTTATTACAAAAAGTAAAAGGAAAGAGAATTATTATTTTGAACTAAATTATTATTACAATTTATTTACGTTGCTCGATTTTTTAATTAATAATTAATTAATAAATTAATTTAAAATTTTGTTATTACAATTATAAACGTACCTATTTAATGATCTGTTGAAAAGATTAATTTATTGATGTTATAATCCTAAACACTGCCACAAAATAAAATGCACAAAATTTTCTATACGCAAAAGGCAAAAATAATATAACAATAATAATTTGAAAGAAACTGAATACTGATTTTAAAGTTTGGGTGAAAAAATTCCGAATCGTTTATACATAAATGAATTGGGAAACTGAACGGTAAATTTTATAAATCACGATACAGCATTGAGGCCGGTGCTGAGCCGACTGACTGACTTGAGTTGTATAGTACTCAGCACATTCAACATAAAACCACTTCCACACAGCCTCTCTCCAGCTCCAGCAGTTCCATTCTAAGCATATTCCACCACTCCATATAATCTCCTCCGTTGACCAGGTGGTATATACACATTCGGCCTAAAAAACATTTTCAAGTATCAACTTTTGCCGCAGAGGCCGCTTCAAACTGGGACTAATTTGGGAAAATAAATAATCAAGAAATAAACAATTTTTTTTATTTTTATTTTTTCAATTGACTTTAACAATTTTCTTGAATGAAAACTTTTTGTGTAAATAGAAAATTGTTTTTGATAAAAAAAAATTATTTCAGTGGAAATCTTTCATAGAAACGAATTTTTTGTATAAACTTTTTTTATTTATACAATACAATAGATTAAAAAATAAGTGAAAATTAATTGTTGAAATAAATAATAATTAACTAATTAATTAACTAATTGATATTTAATTATTACCTAAATATTAATTAATACATTCCTTTAAATTTATTTGTTTATTTATTTATTTTAATATTTATTTATTGTAAATAAACATTAAAAAATACACTAAAATAGAAATTTATTTGTTTCAAATAACTTAAATATTCAACAAAATTATTTTTAAAGTAGTTTTTTGTGAGGAATTCAATGGTCATAAAATAAAATCGGTCAGAAAATATTTTGAGCTTTTCTTAATTTTTAGTTTTCTTCAAAATTAGTGGATTTTGAAATCCATACGTAATTTTGTAGAAAATGTTTTTGAATCCACAATAAAATTTCCAAATAAAAAAATTGATTTTCATAACCTTTATAGCATATTTTGAAAAAAACTCTGTTTTTAGGCTAAAAATGCTAAAAAATTCAATTATTCTTCATTTTTTTAAAATAAAAATTAATTTGTTTATTTTTCTAACTAATTTCAGATCATAATTTTTATATATAAAAAATACAAAAAATTAGGATAAAATTGTGATCTGAAATTAGTGAGAAAAATAAACAAATGAATTTTCTTAAAAAATAATGAGAAATAATTGTATTTTTTAGCATTTTCAGCCTAAAAACAGAGATTTTTTTCAAAAAATGCTATAATAATTATGAAAATCAATTTTTTTTATTTGAAAATACTTTTGTGGATTCAAAAACATATTTTCTACAAAATTACGTATGGAACTTTAAAATCCACTAATTTTTAAGAAAAATAAAAATTCAAAAAGGGTCAAAATATTTTCTGAACGATTTTATTTTATGATCATTGAATTCTTCACAAAAAAATACTTTAAGGGCATTTGAACCTTGATGACGTTTCAGTTTGTGCAAAGCATGTGTGACGTCATCAAGTTTCAAATGCCCTTAAAAATAATTTTGCTGAATATTTAAATTATTTCTTTAATATAGTTAAAAATATAGGTGTACCCTCCCCTTAATTATTGATTTAAATAAAAATGATTTAATTGAAGTAAATATTTATTTTATAATAGACAAATAATCACGATTAGTTGAATCAAATAAATTTTTTTCCAGTGTAATAATTAATAACCGAAATGAAAATGATTTTATTTAGTAAAAAAAAATTGTTTAACTATTTTTTTTACTTTATATTAATTGTTAGATAATTAAAAAATATAATTATAATTTGTTCAATTATTTTTATGTTTAATTCTCTTATTTTATTTAGTACTGAAAAGTTTATATAAATTTTATTTTTATTAAAAATTTCATCAATAGAAACGTTTTTTTGTAATAAAATCTATTTTCCTTGGAAAAAATTAATTTTCGATAAAAAATCTTTCTTGATAACAAACTTAATTTATAAATAATTATATTTCTAAGTATATTAGAATAAAATAAATTATTGAAAAAATACAATTGACTCAACGAGAAGAAAATGATTTTTATTTTATAAAAGAGAAAATTCTTTAAGGTTTTTTTGATTTTATTTTTGTTTATTATTTCTTACTTATTATTATTTATTTTTTATTACTTATTATTTGTTATTTATTATTTATTAAATAATTTATTGTTTAAATTTTTTATTATTCGGTCAAGAATTGCTTTAATTATTTGTTCAAATTATTTGAACATAATTAGGTTTATAATAATTATTTACTTATTCAGTAGAACGTCTCGGCTTTAATTGAAAGGAAAATATCAGTTCATATTTTTTATTCTGATTATTCATTAATAATTAGCAGTTTATAATGCAAAATTGCTATCGCATAACAAATGAAGAATAAAAAAATGAATCCACACGCCATTCATATTTCAAAGATAAATTATTATTCGCTCGTAATTCAGATATTGACTTAAAATTAGTTGTCGATTTTCATAACTCGTTAATTGTACATCATCTTTGTAAATAATGAAATTTCCGTCTATATTTAGTATAAAACGGGAATTAATTTTTTTTTTAATTCAGATAAATATTTACTTGAAAACTCAAATATTTTAAGAGGATATGAATCGAGCGCCTGTTCACTAGCAATCATACATACTCGAAAGATAGGATTTTAAACTGATTAAAAATCTATAAAAAGAAAATTTAAAGAGAGAGAAATTTTTTTTAAATATAGTAATTGTAATAATTGCTAAAAGTAGAAAAACTAAAATTAATTAAAAACTAATTTTAGTTTTTATTTATTCCTAATTTTTTATTTACAAGTAGTATGCGAAAGAAAATTTTATTTGAAGCAGCGAGAAGTTTCTCTAGAATAGCGAAAGTTTCAACTGAAATAACTAAAAATTTCGCTAATATAATGAAAATTGTAGTTATACCAGATAAAATCTTTCCTACTATTCACTATATTTACAGTATAATAATTTAGAATTACTGTAAATAAATATATTACTTAATAAAAAAATACTAAATACTAATTATAAAAAATGGAACTGGTTTAAAAAAAAAATATTTTATAACTGATTAAAAATATTCATAATATAAATAATAATTATTAATTAATCATTTCTCTATTGAAAAATATTGGCAGTTAAAAGAATAAGTTGTCAATTTTCGCCACTCGAAGCTTTTGTATAATAAAAGCTCGAAGAATGAAAATGTTAATTGAAAAGTCAAACAATTAATAACGGTAATAAGTCAACTATTTTATGTCCAGCTGATAAGTCACGTTTAATTTGGCAGGAATGCTTCTCACAATTATTCTTATGCAACAATATGCACTTAGGAACAATTAATTAAAAAGAGAATTTTACAAACAGAATACGCCACAATTCCCTTTTATTTGTAATATAAAATTTTTTCTCACAAGATAATGCAAAAATTTGCTGAGATGCAAAAAATTCTTTTTTTTTGCAAGGGGAAAGAGAAATATTTATTTTTTATAATTGCTGCTCAAATTAATAATTATTATAGTTGACTGTAATTAAAAATAATAAAGATAATAAAAATAATAAAAATAATAAAAATAATAAAATCTCATAATAATAATAAAAATAATAAAAGAAAATAATAATAATAAAAATAACAAAAAAATAATAAAAATAACAGAAATAATAAAAATAAAAAAAATAAAAAACAATAGTAATTGATAATTAATTATTATTAATATTATTATTTATTATTTTTTCTCTTTCCTTGAGCAAAAACGAACGAAACTAGTCGAAAATATTGCAATAGATTGTTTGAGTTCATTGGCTTTTGCGGGTTATCGCAGAGGTACAACAGAAAATCATCAGTTATAATCACCTAATGCCACTGAAACTGATTAGTCATACAGAATTATTAATTTTATATAATCGTGAAAGAAATTTTTGACTTAACCATAATAGACCGAAAATATCTCTCGAGGAATTTATATTATATTCATTTATTCATTTTAAAATTACACAAAAAAAAAAAAATTTATTCGATTCAAATAACCGTCTACTTGTTTATTATCAAATAAATATTTCATTGAATAAATAATTTTTATCGAATCAAATAATTTTTATTTGAACCAATAGTTTCAGTATTTAAAGCAAATTATTTGCTTTATTTATTTAATTGACCTAAAAGTATAAAAATTATTTGTTACAATTATGTTACAATTAAATATTTATTTGATAATAGTCAAGAAATCGTTTATTTGAGTTAGTAAATTTTACTAATAGATAGTCATTTTTCTACTAATTTATTATTAGTAAAATTTGCTAATTCAACTATTCAAATAAATATACAACGAAAAAAATTATTTCCTCTCTAAAGAGAGCAAATAATTTTTTTTTTATTGTATATTTATTTTTATACTATCTTTAGAAATTTATATTACTATTTTTTTCTTGTATATAAATAATATATATTATAATTAATAATCTCTATTAATAATAATCGTTGTAATCTGGTAGTCTGTTCGCAATTTGAAGTTAGTTATTAAGTGTTTTTTTGTTTCCTAACTTTTTTAAAGATTTTTTCTTTCTAAATATTTTTAATTAAAAATTAATGTATTGAAAATTATTGAATTCTTGCAAAGAATCTTATCAAAAAAATTGAAGAGAAAAATTATTGAATTCCTTTGAAGAATTTTTTTATTTATAAAAATAATTGAATTCTCTCGATGAATTTTACTATTTATAAAAATAATTGAATTATTGCGAAGAAATTTACTATTTATAAAAAGAATTGAAATCTTTCGCAAAATTTATTACAATTTTAGGAAATAATTGAATTGTTTTGAAGAATATAATAGAAATATTTGAAAATAATTAAATTCTTTCGAGAAATTCCATTGAAGTTTTTTCGAAAATAATTGAATTCATCAGAAGAATTTTATTACTTTTTTGAAAATAATTGGATTCCTTCAATTTTTTTACGAATATAATTAAAAACTGCATTCAAAGTAATTTAATTCTCATATAGAATTTTTTAAAAATATTTTGAGAGTAATTGAATTATTTTTAGAGAATTTTAAATTCTTGTTAAAATTGAATATAATGGAAATTTTTGAAAATAATTTATTAAAGAAATTATTAAAAAATTTAAATTTTAGGAAATAACTGAATTTTATGGAGATATTTGAAAATTGAATTCTTCCGAGGAATTCAATTAAAATTGTTTTAAAAATAGTTGATTTCCTGCAAAGAATTTTATTATTTATAAAAATAATTAAATTCTTCCGAAGAATTTTACTATTTAAAAATAATTGAAGTGTTTCGAAGGATTTATTAAAGATTTTAGAAAATAATGAACTTTATTCGAAATGTATTAAAAAAACTTTTTTTTAATTTTATTCTTCTGAGAAATTCAATTAAAATTGTTTTGAAAATAATTGAATTCTTTAAAAGAGTTTAATTATTGAAGTTGTTTCGAAAATAATTGAATTTTTGTAAAGAATTCTATTAAAATTAAGTATATTCAAAATAATTGAATTCATCAGAAGAATTTTATTATTTTTTGAAAATAATTAAATTCTTTCAATTTTTTTTTACGAATATATTTAAAAACTGCATTGAAAGTAATTTAATTTTCATATAGAATTTTTGAAAAATATTTTGAGAATAATTGAATTATTTTCAGAGAATTCTAAATTTTTGTTGAAATTGAATATAATGGAAGTTTTTAAAAATAATTTTTTAAAGAATTTATTAAAAATTAAAATTTTAGGAAATAACTGAATTTTATGGAAGTATTTAAAAATTGAATTCTTCCTAAGAATTCAATTAAAATTGTTTTGAAAATAATTGAATTCCTGCAAAGAATTTAACTATTTATAAAAATAATTCAATTCTTGCGAAGAATTTTACTTTTAAAAAGTAATTGAAGTGTTAGAAGGATTTATTAAAGATTTTAGAAAATAATGGAAGTTATTCGAAATATATTAAAAATTGTATTCTTCTGAGGAATTCAATTAAAATTGTTTTGAAAATAATTGAATTCCTGCAAAGAATTTAACTATTTATAAAAATAATTGAATTTCTTTGAAAAATTTTATAACGAATTAACAAGAAAAATTCAATTCTTTCGCGAAATTTTATTGAAAATAATTAAATTTTTACAAAGATATTAATATTTAAAAAAATAATTGAATTGTTTAGAAGGATTTATTAAAATTTTAGAAAATATTTGAATTCTTTTGTGAAATTTTATTTAAATGTTGTTAAAAATAATTGAATTTTTGCAAAAAATTTTACTAGGTATTTAATAAAAATAAATAAATAATGGAATTCTTCCGAGGAATTCAATTAAAATTGTTTTGGAAATTGTTGATTTCCTGCAAAGAATTTAACTATTTATAAAAATAATTGAATTTCTTTTAAAAATTTTATAACGAATTAACAAGAAAAATTCAATTCTTTCGCGAAATTTTATTGAAAATAATTGAATTTTTGCAATGATATTACTATTTAAAAAAATAATTGAATTGTTTAGAAGGATTTATTAAAATTTTAGAAAATATTTGAATTCTTTTGTAAAATTTTATGTAAATGTTGTTAAAAATAATTGAATTTTTGCAAAAAATTTTACTATATTTAATAAAAATAATGGAATTCTTTCGAGGAATTTAATTAAAATTGTTTTGAAAATAATTGAATTCCTGCAAAGTGTTTAACTATTTATAAAAATAATTGAATTCCTTTGAAAAATTTTATAACGAATTAACAAAAAAAATTAAATTCTTTCGCGAAATTTTATTTAAATGTTGTTAAAAATAATTGAATTTTTGCAAAAAATTTTACTATTTAATAAAAATAATTACGAGAAGGAGGAGAAAGAAAATTGAATAAATATAAAATAAAAAGAAAATAGATAAATACACTGAAAAAAAATTTATTTGATTCAAATAACCGATTAATTGACTATTATCAATTAAATATTTACTTGAATCAAATAATATTTAGTCAATTAAATTGAGTCAATTAAAGTCAATTAAATGGTATTTGAACCAATAATTTCAGTATTTGAAGCAAATATGAAGTGAACCATTTAATTGACTCCAATAAATATTATTTGATTCAATTAAATATTTAATTAATAATAATCAATTAATCGGTTATTTAAATCAAATAAACTTTTTTTTCAGTGTATGAAAATAAAGTAAATCTAAAAATAAATAATTATGAGAATGTAAATTTAATGAAATACCCCATACTAATTATAAAAACAAGACTAGTGTTGAATTGCCATATACACTGTATCGCCTTTTACTATATACAATATTATACTATAATTTATTATCGAAATAGAAAATGGAGAGATACACAAGAATACTGTGACTTATGATTGCTTAGTGGGCTCAAAGCCAATAGTATAATATACAAACTTGAAGAGAAAAAAAGAAGAAAAAAAAATATATTGTTTTATATGCTCCTCTTCTCTGCGATAATTAATCTTCACGATAAACTCACAACATCACACACATTCCATTCAAAGTTTAACTCAAGATTGTCGGGATGAGGTTTTTATACAGTAGTTCCTCGCACACGATTCTATGCTACGGCGCACGTCTTTAAAATAATTTCACACACTTGAAGTTAACATACCTGTCAAATGTAAATTTTCATCCGTCTAAAACATACGTCAGTGGCTGCAGCAATGTCTTGTATATCGCACACTCCTCTCGTCAACCATTATTATCATTTCTTGTACGAAACATCAACAATAAATTTATAATAATACAATAACACAAGAAGGAGAGAAAAAAAAGGAGACGACAGAGAAAAAGAAGAAGAAGAAAAGAGAAAATATACAAATTTTTAATTATTTCTGTGACATATGGTGTTTTTCAAAGAGAAACTTTAAAAAGAGAAAAAAAAAGAAGGAAACAATTAACAATGATTCTTGACAGGGAATTTGTTAATGTGTTAATATTGAGTTGGGGGTTTATGTTCACGTTTTCTGCGTTTCTTACAACAAGTAATATACAGGTGAGTATATTTATAGTTCATGTTTTTGATTCTGTAGTATACGTTATGTTATAAAGAGAAGATGCGCTAAAACTCTTGCCAAGAAATCAAGTGTCTGTGAATTATTTTATAATTCCAATTTCAAATCACGAGGGAGCCTTCCGTGTTTACAAGAAAAAAAAAATTGTTATTGACTTTTATTTTGATTGAGATTTGAGAATTGAGAGAGTTTGAAATTTGATTTTAGTTTCAGTTATTTTTTTATATTTTTTTTTATTTTATTGTAGGTTTAAACAATTAAAATTCAATCTTTTATGAATTTATTAATTTTTTTGAGGGTAGAAAAATTATTTTCTATTTTATTATTATTTTTCTATTTTCTACTTTATTATAGATAAACAATTTTTTTACCTATTTTTTTTTTCAAGATAGAAAAATTATTTTCAAACATTTATTTATTTTTTTAAGGGTAGACAAATTATTTTTTATTTATTTTATTCTAAGATTAGATGAAGAAAATTCTAATATAAACAATTTTTTATACATTTATTTTTTTAACGTAGAAAATCTATTTTTTAAATATTTATTTTTTTTTGGGGGTAGAAAAATTATTTTTTATTTATTCATTTACATAAATAAAATTGTATGGTAAACAATTTTTTATATACCTATTTATATTTTTTAAGCTAGGGAAACTATTTTTTAAATATTTATATTTCTTTTTTTTTAGGGTGAAAATTTGAGGGGAAAATTATTTTTTATTTTTTTGTTGAGTGTAAACAATTAATTTTGACGCTTTTTTTCTAATTTATTATCTTTGCATTAATTGAGTTGAAAGTGGGTGAAGAAATTTCATAATGTGTCACTTTAATGAGCTTAATTTTTGAATTTAATTGAACTGAATTAGTTTATTTTTTTCGCACACATAATGGAAAAATAGATTTCGCAGTCTGTGCATTAAGATCTCTATCTATTCTGTTATGTTTCTTTCTTGTGGAATGATAATAAGTTGCGATTCTTGTTTTATAAATTGTTCTTCTCTCATTTTACTTCCTTTGTTAGAAAATTATTGTCATTTGTTTTTCTCATTTTTGTAATTTTATTGTTTGTCTCATTTTATTTAATTTTCTTTCTTGTTTTGTGTATTTTAAACATTTTCTTTGTAATTATCCTTAAGAATTATTTTCTTACAAAAAAAGGCATATTTGTTTTTTAAGTATAAATATACATTTATTTTCTTTGATACTTCATCTATTTTATTTCTTTGTTAAGAATTTATTCTCATTTTTAGAGTTTGAAATTTAAGTTTCCAAATAGTCATAGTTATTTATTTGAAAATTTCAACAAACATTCTTTGTTACTTATTTTTGGATTCTGGTTTATAAATTTTTGTAGTTATTTATTAAAAAATGTTCAAAAAGTTAAAACTTTTTAAAAACTAACAAAAACTCTTTTTTTGTTAATTGTATATTTTTGGTTTTAGTTTTACAAATTTTTCTAAGATATTTATTTATAAATGAAAAATTAGTTCTTATTTTTGTTTTGTTGGTAAATTTGTTTACGTTTTAGTTTTTCAAATTTTCAAAATTATTTATTTATTAAATTAAAAGAATGTTTTTTATTTATTTTTTGTTTTGGTCATTCAAATTTTTTAAGTTATTTATTTAGAAATTAAAAATAATTCTTACTTCTTTTTTGTTACTAAATTATTTTTCATTTTATTTTTTTGAATTTTCAAAATGATTTATTTAGCAATTCAAAAAAATGGATTTTTATTTATTTTTTGTTTTGGTCTTACAAATTAATCTAAGTAATAATTTATTTAAAAATAAAAAATTAATACTTATTTTTTCTTTGTTACTAAATTATTTTTCGTTTTATTTTAATTTTTTGAATTTTCTAAGTTATTTATTTAAAAATTCAAAAAATGGATTTTATTTATTTTTAATTTTGGTTTTAGAAATTTTTGAAGTTATTTATTCAGAAATTAGGAAAATATTCTAAATTTTTCTTTGTTGCTAAATTATTTTTCGTTTTGGTTTTTAAAATTTTCATAGTCGTTTATTTAAAAATTAAAAAAAGCTTTTTTTTATTTATATTTGGTTTTATACATTTTTGTAATCATTTATTTGTAAATTAAAAAAAAATTGTTTGTAAGTTTAATATTTTTGGTTTTAGCTTTTCAAAATTTATTTAAATTTATTAAAATTAAAATTTGAAAAATATTTTATGTTTATCTTTTTTACTATTTTGTAATTATTAATAATTACTAAGAAAATAAAAACCTAACTGAAAATAATTATTGTTTAATTAAAAAAAATTATAAAATTTCCATTTTTTTATTATTACAGAAATAAAATAAAATCAATTATATTATATAGACTGAGTTTCAAATAAAATTCTAGTATTTTGATAATTAAAATAATATTTTATCAACGGTGGACGTCGAATTTGTAATTTGTAATTTGTATTTTCCATTTCATGATAAATTTTATTTTTTTTCTTGCGAATATTATTTTCGACTTATGTTTATTTAAATTGCCAATTATCTCAATTGAATAATAGAAATGGAATTAAGTGTTATTACATAATTATATTTCCCTCACAATATTCCATTATTTATTGATATAATAAAATTTTTCCACCAGCGAAGCTTTTATTAGAAAAAAATTGATTAATTGCAAAATTGTAAAATTCTATAAAATTGTAAAATTCTAAATTTTAAAAATTGTAAAATTGTAAAATTGTAAAATTAAAAAATTGTAAAAAAAAGTTTCTAAATCTAAATCAATAATTCGTTGACTTACATTACTTATCAATTGCAAAAATAAAAATTACATTTGATAACGACATAAATTTTATTCAGAACTCAAAAGTCATGTTTTCATTGACGAAAAATGATAAAAATAGCAATTCTTATCGTTCCCTTGCAGACATTTTATACACGGTTTACTGTCAATAAATTATCAACTCACTCGTGAGATAAATTGTAACGTTTTCTTTTTTTTTCTCTCTCTCTTTTCATTGAAAAATATTCTCATGCTTAATAACGGTCAATGAAAATCTATTACTAGCAGTGACATACAGACATTTTACTTGTGCGTAGAAAATTTAATTCTATTGTTTCTTATATATAGTATACCAATGATAAAATCCCTCGAACAAATATAATTTGCAAACAAAGTTTATATTTTTGCATTATTCTCATAAATTTGTTCTCAATTTAAGTAAACAAAACGATTCTTAACGATACAGAATATGCAATATTAGTAAAGTGTCAGAGGAAGTAGAGAGAAAAGGCGAAGAAAAAAATGAAGAAGTGACTTATATTACTACGGACGAACGATTTATATTATTCTTATACTAATAAATTTATTTAATCACACGATTGTTGGCTTTTAGCCAATTTTCCAATTTATCCAACAAAGTTTATAAAGTACCGTGAAATTGTATTCGAGTCGCGCATATACACACGTTATGCGTTTATTAAACATTTATTTCTGTCTCTTCCGGAAAGGAAATTGATTTCCAATAATGTGAAGAAAAATCTGTATTTCAAAAGGAAATATTCTTTCAAAATTTAGATTTTTTTATATTTTGCCTCCTATTTTATTTATTTTTTTATAAATTTTTCAAATATTTTTGAAATGCAAGGCTCGAACCAGTGAAAGTAATTAAAAATACGGACTTTACGGACTAAAAATGAAAAATTCCGCACAAATTACTGACAAAAATATAACTAGTCCGAGTCAAATAAAAGAACATTTTAATTAAAACTATAAATTAAATTTTTCATAACTATAAAACATGAAGATATCGATAACTCCGAGTCTTCTACTCGGAATGATCGATTTCTTCATGTTTTATAATATTTAAAGATGACCGAATGATAAAATCATTTACAATTAAATTATTATTTACAAGAATTTTTAACTAAAATTCTTTTTTAAATAGAATATTTTTAATAATAGATATTCGAAAAAGTTCTTTGACAATTTTCAAATCCATTTGTTTACAATATTCAATTTTACGAAATTTCAGTTATTCGTAAATTCTTCAATTAAATAAATATTAGAAAATAAAAACTTCAAACAATATTAAAGAAATTCAATTATTAAACTTTTCCAAAAAATCTAATTTCAAAATTCAATTATTTTTAAGAATTGAATGCTTCTTAAAAATTCAATTCCTATAAAGAATCGTTACGAACAAATTTGCAAATAATTGAATTCTATAAATGAATTTTAATAAAATGTTTAAGAATGATTACATTTTTCGAGAAATTCGATTAAAATTGTATTAAAAATCATTGAAATTCTGCAATGAGTTTTATTATTTGTGAAAATAATTGAATTCCTAAGAAGAATTTTATTACTTTTGAATAATATTTAATTTTTGCGAAGAATATTATTACTCTTGAAAATAATTGAATTTTTGCAATAATTTGTAACTTATACAAAATTTAATTTTTTACAATTTTTTACAATTCAATTCCATAACATTTCAATTATTCGTAAATTCTGTAATTAAAAATATTATAGAAAATATAAGTTTAAATAATTTTTAAAAAAATCCACAATTAAAGTTTCTTAAAAATTTAATTCCACAGAATTATTAGTTAAAAATATGAAAAATTGAAATTTTCAAAGATTGAATCTGAACCCTTTTCAAAATTAAATTATTTCTAAAAATTCTTGCTATAATGCTTTTAATATTAAATTATTATGTAAAATTTTAACTAAATTATTATTAAATACTAAAATAGATAATTTATATTGAATAATTGAATGTTTCTCAATATTAAATTTTCATAAACAATTTTATCAAGAAATAAAATTTTTAAAAATAATTACATTTTTCGAGGTATTTGATTAAAATTGTACTAAAAATAATTGAAATTCTGCGACGAGTTTGATTATTTATGAAAATAATGGAATTATTGCGAAAAAATTTAAAAAAAATTTGTAAATAATAGAATTCCTGTGAAATTATTTTATTATTTATTTTTTTTTTTAATAATTGAATACTTTTGGAAAATTTTATTAAAATAGTAGATATTAAATATCATTGAATTTAGAAAAATATTTGAAAATAATTGAAATTATGCCAAGAATTTTATTAAAATTTTTGAAAATAATTGAATTTCAAAGAAGAATTTTACTATTTATAAAAAGTATTGAAATTTCGACGAGAATTTCTTTAAATTTTTTAATATAATTGAATTTCTGCGAAGAATAATTTAATTTAATTCTAATTATTGGTTAAAAATATGAAAAATTCAAATTTTCAAAGATTTTAATCTGAAACCTTTTCAAAATTCAAAAAATATCTTAAAATTTACGCTCTTATGCTTTTAAAATCCAATTGTAATATAAAATTTTAACAGAAATCTTTTTTTAAATTAATGTTTATAAGAAAATTCTATTAGAATTTAATTATTTAAATACAAAAAATAACAATTTATTGAATAATTGCATGTTTCTTAAAATTCAATTCTTATAAAGAATGTTATCTATAAATTTTTAAATAACTGTTATTATTATTAAAAATTTATTAAAATTTATCAAAAAAAATTTAATTATTTTAATAATCTTTAAGGGGATTTGAACCTTGATGACGTCACAGTTTGTGCAAAGCATTAGTTTTAAATCTGTGACGTCATCATGGTTCAAATGCCCTTAATACAATTTATTTATTAGAATTAAAGTATTATTTTGAATATATTTTTAATGAAATTTCTTTAAAGAATAAAATTATTTTCAAAAATTTTAATGAAATTCTTTGCGTAACAATTCAATTTTTTTCAAAATAATTTTAATAAAATTCTTCCCAGAAATTCAATTATGTTAAAAAAATTACTAAAATTCTTGTCAAAATTTTAATTATCTTTATGAATAATAATATTTTTTTTTGAAATTCAATTATTTTCAAAACTTTTAATAAAATTCTTGGCAGAATTTCAATTACTTTTAATACAATTTTCATCATATTTTTCGAAAAATGCAATTATTCTTAAACATTTTATTAAAATTGGTCAAGAGAATTCAATTATTTAAAAATTTGTTGATAAAACTCTTTATGAAAATTCAATTTTAAGAAATATTCAATTGCTTAATAAAATATTTATTTTCATAGTTAAATAATTGAATTCTCGTAGAAGTTTCTAATAAATATTGATTTAAAAATGAATTTCAATTTAAAATCTTTGAAAATTTGAACTTTTCATACTTTTAATTAAGAATTCTATAGAATTAATTTTTCTCAATATGTTTAATGGAATTTTTTTTAATTATTTCAAGTTTTTAATTTCCAATATATTTAATTGAAGATTATCAGAATAATCGAAATTTAGGAAAATTAAATTGTAAACAAAAGAATTTGAAAATTCACAAAGCACTTTTCTAAAAATTATTTTTAAAAAATTGAAGAATTTTAGTTAAAAATTCTAGAAATAAATAATCGTAATGATGAAAATAATTTTTGAAGAAGTTACATTAACAAAGTATCATGTTTTATAATAATATTCTTAGTTATTAAATTTCAAATTTTTGAATATCTTAATTTTTATAAAAAAAATAATGAATAAATATTTATTTAAAAATGAAGTTATTGATGTTTTAGAATAATTTTCGTTGTAAAAACCTGTAAAAATTCCATTTCTTAACCTGGAAAAGTCAGGGAATTTGAAAAGAGCAAAAGCGTGGCAACCTAGCAATATTATTATAATAAAATTTAATTTTAAAAAGAAATGAATAAATTTCTAATAGAAATTAATAAAATAATTTTAATAAAATACTAATAATTAGAAAGTAATAATAATAATAAATAATAATTGTTTTGTTTTTTAGAAAACAGTTCTCGACAGCGTATCGAATGAGGATCCAAATTTCACTGGGGATGGCTACATTAGTTTGGCCATTGTTTACGCAGTTCTCAGTGTATGCACATTTTTTGCGCCGTCCTACGCTCAGGAAATAAGTCCACGCTTATCAATATTCACAGGATCATTGTGTTATGCATTTTTTGTCGCCACATTTCTTTGGCCACAAACATTTTTACTTTATTTCGCCTCGGCAATACAGGGACTTGGCTCATCGTTAATGTGGGTCGGTCATGGACGTTATATTACGGAGAATAGTAATTCAGAGACAATTGCTCGTAATTCGGGTATATTCTGGGCAATCTATCAACTCTCACTTGTCATTGGTAATCTCTCGGTTTACTGTTTATTTAACACCAAGACATATGATAAACAAACGAGAAGATTGATGTTCATTATTCTCACGGTGCTGGCAATTATTGGTACACTGATATTGGCAACATTGAGAAAGCCACATACAAGAACATTGAGGGAGATTTGCGAGAAGAATTTAAAGGAGAAAAATGAAACAATTAGAATTAAACGACAGACATTAATTGTTGCCTGGGAGAGGATGAGACGATTTTTGTGTCTTATTGCCACAAGGCAAATGATAATGTTGATAGTGATATTTATGTATAGTGGTCTTGTACTTGCTTTTTATTCGGGTGTTTATACAGCGAGTTTTGGTTTCACAGTGAAAATGGGTGAATTGAGAAAGAAATATGCCAGTCTTGTGGGAATATGTTTGGGAATTGGAGAAGTGACAGCGGGAATTATTTGTGGACCATTAGCATCGACAATTAAAATTCGTTCACGTTGGTTGATCCTGGTTATTGGATCTATTGTTCACGCATTTTCTTATGTGACCATTTTTTTGAATCTTCCAAACACATCGCCATTCACGGTGAATATTTTTCATTTTCCTATTTAAAATACTATGCAGATAATTTGTGAATTTTATTTGCACTTAGTTTTATTGTTTCAGGGTTGCCACAAAAATTTAATTTTGTTTTTCCCTTACTTTTCCCTGATTTCTAGACTAAATTTTAACTTTTTCCTTGTACCGAAAAAACATTCTGATTCACTCTAAAAATTATTAGATAAAAAAATTTTTACTACTTATTTACAAATTTCTTTAAATTATTCGAAAACATCGATAACTTCTCTTTAACATAAATATTTAATCATTATTCTTTTTCCATATAGAAATTAAGATTTTTAAAAATTTCACATTCAAACCTTTTTCAAATTTAACAAGTTATAATAATTAAAAATGACAGAGTGATAAAATCATTATCAATTCAATTATTATTTTCAAGAATTTTTAACTAAAATTCTTCTTTAAATCGACTATTTTTAATAATTTTCGAAAAAGTTCTTTGACAATTTTCAAATTCATTTCTTTACAATATTGAATTTTACGAAATTTAAATTATTCGTAAATTCTTCAATTAAATAAATATTAGAAAATAAAAACTTAAAAACATTTTCAAAATATTCAATTAAACTTTTAAAAAAAAATTAATTTCAAAATTGGATTATTTTTAAAAATTCACGCTATATTGCTTTTAATTTTCAATTATTATCTTAAATTTTAAATGAAATTCATTTTTAAATCAATTTTTATTAGAAAATTCTACAAGAATTCAATTATTTAAATACAAAAATAAATAATTTAAGGAATAATTGAATGTTTCTTAAACATTATTTTTTATAAAGAATCGAAATGTTTTAATACATTTGAATATTGCTACGAAAAATTTTATTAAAATTTAAAAAAAATTAAATTCTTTCAAGAAATTTAATTAAATATGAATTAAAAATAATAACATTTTTAAGAATAACTGCATTTTTCGAGGAATAAATTTAAAATAAAAATAATTGAATTTTTTCAACGAATTTTATTTAAAATTTTTTAAAATAATTGAATTTCTGAGAATTCTTTTGGGAAATTTTTTATAAAAATAGTAGATATTGAAAATAATTGAATTTCGAAATAATTGAATCGTTTGAAAGAATTTTATTAAACTTTGTTGAATTGTGTCTAACAATTTTATTAAAATTTTTGATAATTTTTGTATTTAAATACTCAATATTATTATTTATTTATTATTAATAATAATTATTACTCATTAATTACTCAATATTATTCAGTAATTGAATGTTTACTTTTAGAATTGAATTCTTATAAAGAATTTTATCAAAAAATTTTTAATAATTGGATTCTTTTGACGAATTTTAATAAAAATTTTTAAGAATAATTACATTTTTCAAGAAATTTTGATTGAAATTGTATTAAAAATAATTGAAATTCTGCGATGAGTTTTATTATTTATGAAAATAATTGAATTCCTGTGAAAGTTTTATTATTTATGAAATTAATTAAATACTTTCGTATTTTTTTTAAAACAATTATTCTTTTAGAAAATTTTATTAAAATAGTAGATATTAGAAATCGTTGAATTGAGGAAATTTTTTGAAAATAATTGGAATTTGGACAAGAATTTTATTAAAATTTTTGAAAATAATTGAATTTTGGAGATGATTTTTATTATTTATATTTTATAAAGATAATTGATATTTTGAAGTATTTCTTGATTAAAATCATTGCAATCGATTGAAATTTTAATTAATTTTAGGTTTAATTAATTTTCATTTCCTTTAAACCAAAAATTCAATTTTTGAACTGACTTTTAGTTTAATCTATTCAAAAAATATCTTCTTTAAATATCAATTCTATTTAAATTACAATTAATTCAAGTTATAATTTATCCAGATTTTAATCTACTCAACACGTAATTTATGCAAATTTCAATTTTATTCAAATTACAAATTATCCGAATTTCAATCTGTTTAAAATATAGGTATTACCTAATAGGTTATTTATTAAAGTCTTCATTTAATTAAAACTTTATTCGATTCGAATTTTGGTTGATCAAAATTAATTATAATTCTATTCAAATTTTTTTTGAGGTAATTCTTGATTTTTATTGGTTAAAATAATTTTATCATTAGAAAATTTAGCAATTTTAAAAAATTATAGAATTTAAAAATTTTCTAGTTTAAATTTTTGTTGAAAACACTTAAAAAAAATTCAATTTTGGAGAAATTACAAAAAATTGCAGAAATTCAATTATTTTCAAAAAAAAAATAAAATAAAATTCTTCTTTTAAAATTCAACTATGTTCAAAATTTGAAAAAAATTCTTTTAAAAATCCCAATTATCTTTATAAATAACAAAATTCTTCTCCAAAGTTCAATTATTTTCAAAAATGTTTTTAATTTCAATGATTTTCAATATCTAATATTTTAATAAAATTTCCCAAAAAGAATTCAATTATTTAAAAAAATTTTTAATAAAATTATTGTATTCAAACATTTAATTATTTTCCTAAATAATAAAAATTTTACAGGAATTTGATTATTTTCTTAAATAATAAAATTCTTTTAAGAAATTCAATTATTATTTTCATAAAAAATTATTTAAAATTCTAGAAAATAATAATTGAATTAAAATGATAAAAATAATTTTGATGAAGTTACAGTAACAATATTCTTATAATATAAAGTAATAATTTTATCTCTCGGTCATCTTTAATTATTAGAAAACATGGAAAAAAAATATTTCATAACAAATACTTCCATAAGTTGTTAAATTTAAAAAAGGTTTGAATTTGAAATTTTTTAATGTTTTAATTCCTGTGGAAAATCCTGTTCCAAAAATAAGATTAGAAATAGAAATTGTGCAAATATTTTTCTTCTTTTTCTAAAAGAAAATAATAATTTTGTTAAAATTTTGAATTAATTATAAAATAAAAATAATTATAACATATAGTAATATAATATTCAATCTATCTAAAGATAACAAAAAACAAAAGTATATAAACAAAAGACAACTTCAGAGTGTGAGGGACTGAAAAAGTGAATAAATGAAAGAACATTTAAATTATTATAGTTAATAATTTATTTTTTTTTATTATTATATTTTTACATTTTAAACGATGACTAATTACTGTTTTAGGATACTGAAGACATTGGTTTTATATCGCCTTCAATGTCGTTAGCCATGATTGGTGCCGTTGGTCTTGGCTTTGGTGATGCCTTTTTAAATACACAGATTATTGCTCTTCTTGGCACAATTTATGTAAATGATACCGAATTTGTATTTTCGATGTATCTCTTCTTTCAATCGGTAGCAGTGACATTGAGCTTTTTTTACAGTAATTACTTTGGACTTTATTTACATTTAGGTATATTGATTGTGATGGGAATACTTGGTACTATTGCATTTGTGTTAGTTGATTTAAAACATAATACAGACAACAGTAAACATACAAACAATATCAACAACAACAACAATAATAATGTTTTGCCAGTTAATCATGAAAATATAACTGCCGAAAATCCAGTCGAATTGGAAAGTGCAAAACGATAGTGCAATAGTTTTTTTTTTCTTTTTGTTTTTTAATGTCAGATATTATTATAATATTTAACAGTCGTACGTTTAGAGAATATATGTCAGAATTTTTTTTTTTTTTATTTATTATGTGTAAATAGAAACTAAGCTAAGAGGTATGTTTGTTATTTTTAAATATTGCTTATACGCCTACTTTGAAATGTTAAATATATTTTTGCAGTACCTGAAATTCAGAGATTGATGGGTCGAATTCTAGTGGAATATTTTATCTTTATAATTAAAATTTTTATTTTTTAATTATCTTTTTTTATTTTTTTCCCTTTTTGAAAGCATGAAGTCTAAATGTTATTATGCCAAGAGAAAAATTTTATTCGAACCAAATAGAATTTATTTGAGTCAAATAAAAACATGTTTGCCTCAGAGCCTACTAAATTATTTGCCATTGACTTTAATAAAAATTTTATTCGGCGTAAATAAAATTTAAAGCGAATAAAATTTGAACTAAATATAATTTATTTGAAACAAATAGAAACTGTAGTAGGCTCTAAGTCAAAAATATATTTTTTCTCTATTTGAACTTATAAATTTTGTATTTTTTGTTGAAGTTTCTATTTTCAGTTTTTTTTATTTACTTTTTATTTATATTTTTATTTTAGTTTCCTTTTATATAGTGAAATTTGAAAAAGCGAAAAAGTGAAATTTCAATCTATTTTTATTTGCAGTTTTTTACTTACATTTAACTTGTATTTTTTAATACTTTTGTTTCTATAGAATTCGGTTCATCTTTGAATGAAACTTTTACAGAAATGTATGTATATCACTATATTTATACAAATTTATTTGAATTAAATGTTTCACAGTATGTTGTTAAAATGTGTTTTCTATACGTTATTTTCTATGCACATAAATATTTTATGTTTTTAAAGAGATGCGAAAGGGTAAAAATTAAAACAAAGTTGAATGATATAAAAATTTTTTAATGTAAAAAATTACATTTTTTAAAAAATATATAATTAAAAATTGGACGGCTTTGCTGATTGTAGTACTAAAATAGTATTCTACTAGTAATATATATTTATTATTATTTTTTATTTATTTTATTATATTTTTTTATTTTTATTTTTTTTATTATCTTAGGAAAAGACGAGTTTTAATTTAAAAGCTGTGTACTTAAGTTGTTGGTGCTATAATTTTCAACAGGTTTTTTATCCTCTCAGAAAGTAGAAGATCATCATCCATTAATTTTTTCACGTCTATCAATTTATTCAATTCGCCAATTAATGTTCGAAATTCATTTATCGCCTCCACCAAACTGTTTAATACCACTTCGAGTTTTTCCTTTATTGAAAAATAAAAAGTCAAATTAATAATTAATTACTTTCTTTTAAGAAGAACAAATTTCTTTTTAATTTTGTATTTTATATTTTTTATTACTTTTTTAATTATTAATGAATTATTAGTAAAGTAATAGTTAATAGATAGTAAAAGTATTGTTAATAGCAATAATTAAAAAAATTATTATTATTTAAATTCTGTATTTTTTTCAATTATTATTATTTTATTAATATTCTTTTTTTTTAATTTTACCTGAAACAGCAACAAATTTCACTATATTAGTGATATTTTTATAGTTGTTTTAGTTAAGACTTTCGTTATTCTGGAGAAACACTTATCACTGTTTTAGGTAAAAAATTTTTTTCATTTTTTATTATTATTATTATATATTTTTATTTTATTTACCTCGATGCTGCTAAAATTGGAAACGCCAATACAACTGACCATTCCTCTTCTATGCGTTAAATATCCTAATTTTCTTCTGGAAAGACCGAAACAAATTGGAATGTTTTGTTTTCGACAAGATGCAATTAATTTATTAACAATATCGTCTAAACCCCCTGGAATTAAAAATAGTTATTAACATTAATTTTCTGTTTAATGGAAAAAATTTTTTTTTTTAAACTAATGCGATAATTTTAGAGATTTACAATTTATCTAATTATTTTAATCTACCTTCAACTTCCACCTTTTCAAGATCAGGTACAATAATTACAAATTTTATTTTCTTCAAGGTAATGTGCTTCTCGACTTCATTGAATCCGGTGTAAAATCTTCGTTTATATTTTCCTTTGACATTACTTCTTTCGTATAATTTTTTCTGCAGTCTAAACAATTCTGATATGAAAATTTCCAATTTTTTATTGAATTCTGGCGAAATTGTGTTCGTACAGTATCTGAAAATATAAATAAAATTAAAATATTTTCAATTAATAATATACAGTTGCCAAGTGCGGACAATTTTTTTCCAACAAAAATATTCGAATCATAAATTCTTTTTAGAGAGATTAAAATAATTACAGGTGCGTCAGGATTCTCGTAAGTTAAAAAATGAAATAAGTAAAAAATTAATAAAATTGAGATGAAAGCGATTGAAAAAAAAGTAAAGATAGAAAAAAATTGAAAATTAATAAAATTGTGACAAAAATAAAGAAAATAAGAAATTAATAAAATCGTTGCCAAAATTAAAATAAATAAAAAACTAGTAAAATTGTAGCAAAAAATAAAATTAATAAAATTTTAGCCAAAATTAATAAAATTTTAGCCAAAATTAATAAAATTTTAGCCAAAATTAAAATGAATAAAAAACTAATAAAACAAATAAAAAGTTAATAAAATTCTAAAAAAAAATAAAAAAATAATTAATAAAATTGTAGATAAAAAAATAAATATAAAGTTAAAATTGTGACAAAAAAAGTAATTAATAAAATTGTTGCAAAAATAAAATGAATTCAAAAAGAAAATTTGAGAAAAAAGGAAAAAAGTAAAAAATTCATTTTTGTTAAATAAGTGATGAAAAATAACACTTACTCACTCTCTAAATTTTTTCGAATATCGAATATTATTTGTATTTGCATCCCTATAAGTGAAAAATGCAGGATTTTGAAAATTCTCCTCCTTTTTCAAAATAAGAACACTATTAACATTTTCTACAATAATATTTTGTGTATTAATTTCATCGATTTGTATATTTGCAATTTCATTCTTCAAATCATCATTTATCACATGCGTTTCATTGTTTGTATTAATTAATAAATTCTCTAATCTTTGGGAAATGTCTTTTCGATTCTCCACTATCTTGTCAACTAGATTATCACTTTTTGGATTTCTATATTCATTGCCAATGAGATTTAGTCCCGTTAGTGTTCTACCACAGTCGAGATCTAAATTTGGATCGGGAATAATTTTCAAATTTTCAATATTTAATAATTGTTCATGAACAATTTTAATTATTGGCTCATGATTTTTTCCACGTAATTCTTTTCTCTTCTCACGTTCATTGATTATTATTTGCTTCAATTTCGTGGGTTTTTTTGCTTTCGATAAATAAATTTTATTGCCCTTTGTTTCAACAATACGATCACAGCATTTTATTTTCTTCTCTGCCAGGGAATTCTTCAGGCTTCTTTGGTTCTGGAAAAATTAATTGCCAATTAATTAATTTTGCTTATTAAAAAAAAAATTTGAAAATAAAGTTAGGAAACAATTTTCTAATTTTTGAAATTAAAAGAAAAAATAAAATTGAAAAAGTAGAAATATTGAGAAATGTTTAATATTGTAATACTGATAGAAAGTTCAGTGGATTTCATAATAAATGAATATTACAACAGAGTTTGATAAAAATGAAATTTGCAGTCTTTGAGAAAAAAAATATTCTATTTGTGTTCAAAGTGACATAATCTCTATTGTGATTATTCGCGACACATATTTGATATTAAATTATAAAGTGGCAATTAATTTCTGAATGCAAATCGCTGTAATTAAAAATTAAAAAGCAATAAAAAAGGAAACAAGAAACAATTTAAAAAAACAAGAAAAGAATAATTCTATTGTAATTTTTATTTGCCTTTTGATAAACAATTATTTTGTAATAAAAACGTTTTTATTGCAAAATGATTAAAAACTGGTTTTACGAAAAGAAAATATTTAATAAAAAATGTAAATAAAAAAATATTATTATTGATAAAATATATTAATATTATCAATATAATTACTAAATATTAGTAAAATAGTTTTAATTCACATTCTTCTGAACTTGATAATAAAAAAAAATAATAATAATAAGGTAATAATTAGGTTTTGAAAAAGCATTTAATTTTCGACGAAAATTATAACTCAAGGTAATTTGAAATTAAACAATTATTTTTTAAATTATGAATAAAAAAATAGTCACCTCCAAAATTTGTTGAATATTAATCCGAAATAATTGACTTCTTTCTGATCTTTTAAGAAATTTTCTCGATTTTAATTTATCTTCAGTTATTTCTTCCTTTATGATGATAACATCATCAGCGACAATTGCATCAGGAACCTTTCTAAAATTATTTTTTCTCTTCGACGTCGACATAATTTTTCCCAATTCTGGAAAATCACAATAATTCAAATTTGTCTCAATTTTTTGTTGATGATAACAATGACGACGACAATTGTCATCAAATTCATTATCAGATGAATTCTCCTCAATTATTCCTTTAGACGATGAATGATAATGTTTGTTAACTGGCGTCTGAGAATCATATTTACGTTGTTGTCGATGATTTTTCGACTGTATTTCTGGCCAGACTTTATCTTTTTCTTTTTTTCCCTCTAATCTTGTTGAATTACGCCAACAGTGACTCTTCATTTCAAAGAAAAAAAAAAATTTTTTTTTTTTTTATTTTATTCACACACTATTATTTTTGTACGTGTTTACGTACACACGAACAAAATCTATTGACACATGTGTTGAAGTGAATTTAATATATATAAATTTTGCGAGTTGAAAAAAAATTATAGGCGCGAACACACTCGCGTGAAGTTAGCGTAGCCATTGAAGTAATATTATATACAAGTTGTGTGTATACTTGATATCCTTGATTTATAAAAAACTGATAAATCTCCTATGATATTAAATATAGACTCTTTATCTTTCATATATAAAGAGAGAAGACTATATTCTCGCGGTGATTTAATCCATCTTTTATACTTCTGGTTTTATTAGTTGGAGTAGGTTCAGTATTTATCTGCTCTATAAAATATATGAACTTTATCTATCACTGAATTTATGTTTAAATTTGTCTCGCACTTTTTTCATGATATCTTGGAGAGAGAGAGGCGATATAACAAATGCAACTAAACAGATGAGTTGAGTCATCTAATTATTGACGGTCTTTACCGGCAGATGTCACTTGAGTGGAAAAAATTTATTGTACCTATACAATATTGTTAAATAAATAAATAATTTTGTTCTGTAATTTTACATTTTTAAAACAATAAAATGAAAAAAAAAAATTTTTAATTTAAATAAATTTTTAAAATTAAAAAAAATAAATAAAAATATTAAATAAAAAAGAAAATAAATAAAATAATGAAATAAAAACAATAATTTTAATTAATTTTAATGAATTCGGGTAATTTAATAATTAATTAATTCGACGAAAATTCATTTTAGTCGAATTAAATCAATTATTTGGAATTTAGGACCAAAAATAATTTTTCACACATCAGAAGGAAATAAAAGATTTTTAAATAGGAACTTGTTGCATTTTTTACCTGAGTTTTTTGAAGTAATAAAGAATTTTTCTTTACGAAGATTTAATTATTAAAGTATATTATTTTAGGGTTTCATTTAGTAAATTCGAAAATAAGGATAAATTTTTCTACTTTGTCGTTTGGTTGAAGTGAAGAAATTTTTTAAAGTAGTTTTGTTATCCAAGGAACGTTACTGTGAAGCTTATCTTCAGCGGTAAGTGAAGATAGTTCGAAAGGAATTCACAAGATGTCTCTGTGGGTTCTAATTTTGAAAATTTTTTCAAATTTATTTCAAAAAATTTTTTTTATATTTTTTAAAACTATTATTTATTTTGGAAATGTAGAAGTTATTTTTTTAAACAGTAAAATTTCTTGTGCGCGGCTAACTTCTTACTGCCTTTTTTAAATAAAATTATCAATTTTAAAAATAATAGAATTTCCAAAATTTTCTAATTTGAATTTTTGTTGAAAACACTAAAAAAATTCAATTTTGGAAAAGTTGCAAATAATTGCAGAAATTCAATTATTTAAAAAAAAAAAAAAAATTCTTCTTATAAAATTCAACTAACTATGTTCAAAATTTGAAAAAAATTCTCGTAAAAATACGAATTATCTTTATAAATACCAAAATTCTTCACCAAAGTTCAATTATTTTCATAAATGTCAAAAAAATTGTTGTCCTAATTTCAATTATTTTCAAAAATTTTTCTAATTTTCATGATTTTCAATATCTTCTATTTTAATAAAATTTACCAAAAAGAATTCAATTATTCTTAAAAAGATTTTAATAAAATTATATGCAAACATTTAATTATTTTCATAAATAATTAAAATTTCACAGGATTTTAATTATTTTCATAAATAATAAAATTTTTTTAACGAATTCAATTATTATTTTCATAAAAAATAATTTAAAATTCTGCAAAATAATAATTGAATTAAAATAATGAAAATAATTTTGATGAAGTTACAGTAACAATATTCTTATAATTATAAAATAATGATTTTATCTGTCGGTCATTTTTAATTATTATAAAACATGAAGAAATCGATCACTCCCAGTCTTCGACTTGGAGCAATCGATATCTTCATGATTTATAACAATACTTTTATAAGTTTTTTAATTTAAAAAAGGTTTGAATTTAAAATTTTTGAATGTCTTAATTCCTGTGGAAAATCCTGTTCCAAAAATAAGATTAAAAATAGGAATTGTGCAAATATTTTTCTTCTTTTTCTAAAACAAAATAATAATTTTCTTTAAAAAAATTGTATTTCATAAACAAAAATAATGCAAAATAAATAAATTTTCTATTTTATAATCACAGTTGTTTAATAATTTTTTATTTTTTTTAAAAGTAAAGAACAAAAATCTGCATAATTTCAATTTGACAAAACATAATATTTAACAAAATTTAAGTCTTTTAATGAAAATAAGTGAAAAACATTATGATGATTTCTATTTGTCATTACAATTTTAAATTAATTATGAAATAAAAATAATTATAACATTAATTAATTAATTAATAATAATAAAATACAAGTTCCAGTAATCTATTCGCAGTTTGAAGTTAGATGTTGTTTGCTTTTTGTTTCTTAACTTTTTTATAATTTTTCTTTTCAAATTTTTTCAATTTTAAAATTAATGTACATATTGAAAATCATGGAATTATTGCAAAGAATTTTATCAAAAAATTTGATAATAGAATTCCTTCAAAAAATTTTATTTTATTTATTTAGGAAAATAACTGAATTCTCGCAAAGAATTTTATTAAAATTTTTAAAAATCCTAATTAAATTCTTTTGAAGAATTTCTTTGAATTTTTTTTAAAGTAATGTGAGTTTCTTTAATAATTTTAATTGCAAATTTTGAAAGCAATTATTGAATTTTATGAAGAAGAATTTTATTAAAAGTGAATTGAAAATAATTAAATTCCTGCGAAGAATTTTACTGTTTATAAAAATAGTTGAATTGTTTCGAAGAATTTATTAACATTTTAGGACATAATTGCAATTTATGGAAATATTTAAAAATATTTGAATTTATCCGAGTGCACTAGTTTTTTGAAATTTTTATTCAGAAAGTTGTTGAGATTTTTATATTTTTTAATTTCTGCGATTTTTTGTCAATTTTTATTATTTCAAAAATGGAAATTTTAATAAAAGTAGGGATTTAAAAAACGTAAAAAACCGAAAAAAGTATAAGAAGGAGAATAATAAAAAAATAAATTTTACCACCTTCGAAGCAAACTTTAGTAAAGATTTAAATATAAAATTTAGTTAATAAATAAATAAAAAATACAATACTTATAAATTCAGTCAGGTTAGTTTATTTTGACACATAAAAGTAAAGTAAAAGTTAAAATATAATTGTTTGTTAATAATAAATAAAAATTAATTTTTTTCTTTCGCCTCTTCCAAAAACAATATATATATCAGACAATTAACATAATATTATTGATAATAAAAGTACATGAAATTCATATAAATATATAAATTGAATGTCTGAATGAATAAATTTATTTGAATATATATGAAGTAAAAGTCTTATAGTAATAATTATTCCATATGCAAATGAAGTACAGAATACTACTGTAATTACAGTCTTGTTACAATTTCTACAAATGAGAAGTCTTGTTTGACCATAAATTTATTGAATTATCGTCTACAGTGGCAGAAGTAACCCAATTACAAGGAGGACTTTTCTCTAAATTACATCAAGATTAATAGAAATTTATATTCTGTTCACTTTTGTTTTATTTTTTTTTCATAATATGTTTATAAATTGTTTTATTAGTAATTTATTCTTTTAATTTCGAGAATTATTTTTTTTCGACATTTATTTTGACGTTTCTTTTAATTGCAAGTTTATTACTTTCTTTTTTATTTAAATCAACTCTTCCTCTTCTTTTCCGTATTCTTCTTCTTCTTCTTCTTCTTCTTCTTCTTCTTCTTCTTCTTCTTCTTCTTCTTCTTCTTCTTCTTCTTCTTCTTCTTCTTCTTCTTCTTCTTCTTCTTCTTCTTCTTCTTCTTCTTCTTCTTCTTCTTCTTGTTTTTTTCTTTGTTTTTTTCCTCCCTTTTGTTTTTCTTCTTCGTCTTTTTTTCTCCTTTTTTCTCAGATTTTTTTTGTATTTCTTCTTCGCCTTCTTTTTGATTTTCTTCTTCGTCTTTTTTCTCCTTCTTGTCTTTTTTTCTCCATTTTGTTTTTCTTCTTCGTCTTTTTTTCTCATTTTTGTTTTTCTTCTACGTCTTTTTTTCTCCTTTTTGTTTTTCTTCTTCGTCTTTTTTTCTCATTTTTGTTTTTCTTCTACGTCTTTTTTTCTCCTTTTTGTTTTTCTTCTTCGTCTTTTTTTCTCATTTTTGTTTTTCTTCTACGTCTTTTTTCTCTTTTTTGTTTTCCTTCTTCTTCGCCTTCTTTGTCTTCTTTTTGTTTCCCTTTTTGTCTTTTTTCTCCTTTTTATTTTTCTTCTTCATTTTCTTTTCTTTTTTTTCGACTTTTTATTCTCCTTTTTGTTTTTCTTCTTCGACTTCTTTTTCTCCTTTTTGTTTTTTTTTCTTCTTTTTGTTTTTTTCTTCATCTTCTTCTTCCTCTTCTTTGTCTTTGTTTTCTTCTTTTTCCCCATACAATACTCTGCCTTCAAAGTATTGCTACTTTCTACATTATATATTATCTGCATTGTGTACCTGTCATTAGTAGTTTAATTTTATTTTATTATAAAATAAATCATACATTTTGAGAAAAGTTTTATTGTCTAATACCAACGATTTCTATTAGGCATTTTTGTGGAACACGTTGTGCACTTTTTTATGGGCAATAAAACCTGATGAAGCGGAAACCTCGCTGTCATATAATTTTTTAACGATAAATCTTTTTATTTGTTGACAAACACACAATTTTTCCTTTTCCTTTTTTTGCTATTAATTCATTATAAATAGTTGCATAGTGGGGAGAAAATGAAAAAATTGAAAACGTATTTTTTTTGCACCCAGAAAAAAATTTTTATTAAAAGTTTTAATTTAAAAAAAATTAGTTAAAGCCAATTTCTTTAAATCAACAAAAACTTAATAAATAAAAATAATAATTTTTTCCTTCTTTAAAATTTTTAATTTTTTTAAAATAAAATATAAAATTAAAAGGAAAAAAGTTCCAAAGATTTAAAAATAAAAAATTTGTTTTTCAAGGAAAATAACCAAATGTTTCTAACATAAAATGTTTCAAATACATTTTTTTTGTATATTTTGCACTTTTTTTTTCTTCTTTTTGAAATTTATACAGGCGATTTTTGCATGCGCCAAAAATTTTCATCGTTTCAAAGATTCATAAAGTGGGGGCAACGCGCGCGCAAAACTCTTATGGTGAAAATCAATATTTTCTCCCATATAAAGGGAACCGATTTTCCGTGGTAACTTCACTGTAATTTCTGGACTAAAGCGCGTATATTTTCCGAGAAAACACTCCATTTGAATTTTGCCGGTAACCAAAATCTTATTGGCAAAAAAAAAAAAATTACCAATTTTCGTTGTTATAACTCTAAAGTTATAACTTTTATCATCTTATAAAAGGTACAAAAAAAAGTGATAAGTATAAAATGCTCACTTTTAAATGTCAGTCAAAAATTATTTTTCTTTTTT